TGATTGGGTCAGAAGTGACGGCCCCATTGATCACATTGGAGATCTGAGATTGAGAGCGCGGGAAATCGTTACCGCCTTGGGTGGCCGCCCATGCATTTCGCTGCACTGCCTCGCTGGCAGTACTGTTGTTTTCTACCTTTTTCGTCCTTTCTCTTTACTGATGTCGTCGCGTTCTTCTACCCCTAGGGGCTACGGTATCTCAGAGGGTTCACTCAACGAAAAGGTTGCTAGTTCCTATCATCTTCCAGATGCAGCGCCTCGTCGTGGCCGCCGTTCTTCTTCTCGCCGCCACACAAACACTCAGCGCTCCAACGTCAAAAGACGTAAGTTTCTCCTAAGATTTGTTAATGATACCTACGTAGCGCGAGCTGTAGTAGGGCCAGAGCAGCGTGGTACGTTGGGGATGGCCAATGGATGGCCTTACATGGTCACTGGAGGGGAGCGGAATCGTACTTGACGTGGGGAAAATTGTTCCTGCTCGCTAATTCCACCCTTTTACTCGCGGGTACACCCCACGCAATCCCTTCCCCCACCCTGGTCATATCTTTTTTGTCCACCCTGGGTAGCCTCCTAAATATTTTCCTTCAGAAGTCTCAAAGAAAATCTCTTCAGAAGATAGACTGCTTTGGCGTGGACTAACTTTCGAGTAGATCGCACAATCCGTGATCCACAAATAACAATCAAAGAAAAATCTCATTCTCACAGCACCTAGCAGTTTCATCTCAATCTACAAGTTCTTCAGAAGCCTATCGTCCTCTTTACTTGTCCACCAGATGGCTTATGCTATGCCAGTCCACGAAATTGCTTTGACAACTGTAATGCTGCATTTAGCGTGAGTTCACTATTGCATCGTTGAAAACATAGCTATCGATTGACCACAGTTAATATGCATTTAGATGTCATCACCAGAGAACGGCACGAAATTCAAACACATCACGAATGATGTCACCGCTCAGCTATACAGCGCGTATCTTACTCAAGAACATTTGCAGGGGACTGACTCGATGTTGGCTGGGTGAGCATTGTGGCCGGGAGGGGTTGTCTGCCAATTTTCGTTGGCTTACGGTAACGTATCTCGTGAATACATATCTACCCGCGCCACAGTTGTCAGGTATGTACAATTAAACCATTTGAACAGTGTTTTGCGACGGGGAATATGAGATGTCGTCTGACTGATCTCCCCTCTGCAGCCACATAGCGCCAGATTACCTGTCAGACTTGCACGAATCCAAGTTTCAGTTTTCGGACAAATATGACAAGGCGATTATCTGTTCTTTCCACTCACCAAGAGGAATCGTAGCCCGAGTGAACTATCCGGATCCAATCGTCATTCAGCCGGTACGAACGCCTGTTTTTTGAACCCGTTTTCTCATTCTCTCAGAGCCATGAGCTGGCCCGTCCCTCGGTCAGCCCTGTACCAGATCATGGCTGAGTGAGCTAGTGTAGAATCTTGCAGTTCATCGACGCAACCGAACCTGAAGGCCACACGGATACTACGTACACCCAGTGCTCAACAAACGTCTCGCAGTCGGCACCAACAAAGGCGAAATTCAAGTTGATCAGTGGAAAATGGGAAAGTGAGTGATTGGTATTGACCTTCACAGACGTCAGAGAAACCCTCGTCTTTCAGGTGAACTTGATCTTGGACGAGAACTTGGCCATCGATGTCGTGCCAGCTGTGGAGAACGCTCGAGTAATGTCGGACAGCCAGGTTGGTTACCATTCACATCATCCACATTATGAGCAGAGAAAGATAGGTAAGGCAGCGTTCAGACTTCGCGATGGCAGCGCTTCGGTCGCGCGATTCGACGATCGATGCGCATGCTTTCGACTGCATCGAATGCGCGACCGAAGCGCTGCCTTCGCGAAGTCTGAACGCTGCCTAAACAAGTAGTAACTACATAGATAGCAGTAATTAATAGCAAACAGATGAGTGATATTGTTAAATAAATAATATCGGAAGAGCTGCTTTGCAGAAGATCGAGATCCCGTCTTCGAAGCTCGCAGCTGTACGTGCCGAAGATGATTCAGCCGAGTTGGACGAAAAAATATCCGAGGTGATTTTTGAATCGTACATTGATGGCCAAATACATTTTCATCTCGGCAGCTTATTTGGCGCAAACATAGTTGAGAGAGTGGGGGGGGAGGAGTATGACTCGCCTGTAGTCCCTCATCCCTTTCCCTAATCATCGTTTGAGCTTCGTGGGGACTGACTTCTCTGCAGGACTATCCCTTGACGACTCCGGTCATCTGCGCTCTAAGCACAAGCCTTTTTGGGTGGGGATACGGAGCAGCAGCCGAGTGCTACCCCCACCTACGTTGCCCCGGTTAATGCTTTCTGGCCTGCTCTGCATTGTTTGCATCGCGATCGTATTTTCCTGGACTGATCTGGCAGCAGCTGT